GCGGTTATATATATATATTTTTTTTAACCCTAGGCAAAAACGAGCAGTTAACCCTGCTAATGTGGGGGTAGCAAGGGTTGATAAAAATTGTGCCAGGAGTTCTTCTTTAAATAACACAGGCATTATGACAGTTGTATATGACTTATTTTGTTTTTAAAGCTGATAAATATATCACAAAGCTGCCAATACATACCATAATTGTGTCTTTAACCTGAGCTCGGATGACAGGCCCAATCAGTCCAAGTTCCCTTCTTGACCTTTCAGGTTCGGTTGGAGTTCTGAAAGTGCTATCTGTATACAGCCGATAGACTACTTTTTTAAATGTCTGGTGGCAGGATGTGCTAAAAAGACATACAAAAGCACAGTTATGTTAGTCACATTTGCCATCTTTACTTATGTTCAATTTTCAACCATGCAAATGTGGCTGAGCCTCAATCCACCACGATTTGGTTACTTATATTTGACATTGGCTAATCTTAAATGAAAACTATAGTGGTTTTGGTTCATTTTATTTAAAATTCTTTGAATGTTTAGAAGCTTTTAAACTGATCATTTGTACAATTGTTTTTATTACTCTTACAAAAATCCATCTATTACAAATACAAATGTGATACTTGCTGGGCTGTCTTATAGGAGAGCTCAGCACTAGCTCTGAATTTGATCACCATTTCACCTGCTGGCTGCAGAAGGGCAAATATGAAATACCCTTGGACAGATGAGAAGGACCTCCAGTTGGCTTGGTGGGCTAGCATCTTAAGCCTTATGAAGGAATCCTCAAGGTGGGGGAACCTGGGCGCCTATCACCTTAGGAACTTTACTAGAGTTTCGTGTGGGATCATAACTCAAGGAGATAGTTTCAGGGCACAGGATACCCAAAAAGCTAAAACAATATGTAGACTACAGAGTTCTACTACAGTCCATTCAGAAAAAGGATCTTTAAAAGGAGAATTATGAGGTGAGTGATTTTCACTCAGCCTCATAATCTGAGCCGACCTGTGACAATGAAACTGTCACAGGTCGGCTCAGTAGATCGGGAAGTGAGCGTAAACATACTGGCGCTCGCTCACTTCTCGATCCTGACACGGCAGAGAGCGGTGACAGGGGAGGGACTGGATTCCCCCCTCCCTGCTCCGATCCTTCAGCGCTGACTGGCGGAAGGGGGAGGGGGCGGGTACAGCTGGCTCTGCCTATCTAGATAGCTGCAACTCGCTGTATACTGAGCTTTGGATAACGGGAGGACGCTATTTTGTGTCCTCCCGTTACCCTTCGGAGAACTACGGGGAAAAGCCCTAACCCCATAGTTCTCCTTTAAGCCAGATGTGACACTCTGTACTCTTCAGAGTAACATTAGCAGCACATTTACCTTCTGGGTGAGCCACAAGAACTCCACTGGCAGCAGCTTGTACCGAGACACTCAGCAGCAAAGTTGTTAACCCCCGTTGCTCAAACCAGGCAACACACACTCTTCAAGGCTTCAAGCCTAGACCTCTCTTCTCACGAAGAGTCCCCCCAGCCAGCAGGCCTGGAAGGCACAGCCCTCCAACACTGAGCCTTCTCTCCTGGCTAAAGCCCAGGAGGCAAGTAACTTTCTGGAAGATCATCCCAAATATTTACATCCTCCCCTAGGAGTACACCACTGGCAACAAATCTAGTGGTTGGCCAGATATGAATCATTTAGAAATATTGCACCTTCTTGGTCTATTGGCAGGAACACTTCCCAACTGCAGGCCTGATTCATCACAGTGCTTAAGGCCAGGGGCGTCCTGAGGTTGGGTATCACCCAGGGCAGAGACCGGGTGACACCCCGCTGTGACGTCATAGTGCATGCGCGTGAAGTGATCGCGCATGCACGATCATCTAATTGGTAATGGACGCTGCCAGAGAGAGGAGGGGACGTTCACCCGGCAGGATGAGGTATGCCGTCGGGTTCACTTCTCTCTCCTGACACTGTCGGGCTCTCGGTCCATGACCGAGTGCCCGACTTTTTAGAGGGGGTGACACCAAAATGACTGTCATTTTGGTGTCACCCGGGTGCGGGCCGCACCCCCCTTGTGACACCACTGCTTTAGGCATGCCTCTCAGTCAATATTATTGTATGTCATTTTAGGATGCCTAAGGGGATAGTTATCATGCCTTAAAGCTGAAACTTATCACTGGGTTTTTGTGCTTCTCTATGCAATGCAGGCAGATCATGTCTGGTGGGAGGGGCTGCTAGGGTGCTGTATGTAGTTTCCTGTAAACACCATGGCACCGTTCCTCTGTGCTCCTCATATGAGCCATCAGCCCTGATGCAACCAATGAGCTGGCTCGTCTGAGGAGTTATGCAAATATCCAAATCTCCTGATGGGTGGATGTCAGTCTGGAGTGGGTATGGGTGTAGGCAGACTTTGCATGCAGATTGCTGCGAAGGAAAGTACTAGATGATGCCGGACATCCTCCCATCAGGAAAGGTGATAGGCTTTATCTGACTTCCCGCAGCTTTTAATGCACACTGTGACAAGCTTAATTTTATAATATTAACTTTTCAGCAAAGCTTTCAGTGTGCGACCAGACTTTTCTTCTGTAAATAACTGCTGATGCTGCAGCAAGCCTGGCTCCGCCACTGTGCCCCCACCATTCTCTTTACTGCTGCTGTGAAGGAACGGTGATATTGGGTTATAGAAGCTTCATTTTGTCTTTCCTTTAGTTATACTTTAAAGTGATATTAAAGTCAAAATGTTTTAAGCCATTTTAAATGCTCATTAAATCACTTACAATGGATGCTGCTCCTTGATGTGCACTGACCCCGATATCCTGTTTTAGGGTGAATCCTTCCCCTTGCAGGGTCCTATGGAGATATTCTTGTGTGCGATAGTAAGCTATGAGTGTCTCCCCTGCTCACTAGTCTTTCTTCCCCTGCTTCCTTTACCAAGCTAGTAGATGGATTGCTGCTGGACACGATGCTCTCCCTTGTGATCGTGTACTAGACATGAAGTACAGGGAAGCCGAGCTGAGTGAGTTGGAGCCAACTGTTCGTAAACATGATAACTATAAGTGCTTGTTTGATTTGGATTAATTTTAATACTTTTACTACCACTATGAATGCATTTGTAGCTCGATGAATCAGGGACATAGTGGCTTAAGTAGTATAACATGAGAATGGAAACAAGTAGGCATGCACCGGTACCAGTTCAGATACCAGTGCCGATACTTGACATTTTCATGAGAACTACCAGAGTTGCGGGGGTTGCAGCTGGGACCTAGCTCTGACGCTCCACCACTGTCCTAAAATCATTAGTTGATATTGTTTTAGAAAAACTGTCACATGACAATAAACAAAAATGTATCAGTACTTGTATTTGCAAAAATGGTATCGGTGCATTTCTTTATTTATGTTTATAAAAAAATCATACATTAATACAAATCCCAGGAGCTCCGTGTGCTCCTTACAAATGACAGCTGCCTACTAACTTTTGAATTTGTCTCTAGTCTAGTCTTGGAGCTAGAAAAGTATATGTACGTGTACCGCGTACGGTACTTGGTATCGGTGCATCCCTAGAAACAAGCATAAAGTTGGAGTTGTTGTCCATTCTGACTAATTATAATTCCTGTGTACTATTTCCATCAGATAAAAGGTAAAACTTGATTAGTTGCTATCAGCAACACCATTCCATTTTGTGCCCTATTCTATTCCAGTCTTACTGCCAAGTTTGCTCCCAAAATTACAGTTGCCTTCTGTGCATAAAAAAAATTATAAATGCTCTGTGACCCATCTGACTTAGAACCCAACCTCACTAGTTTTCCTTATGTTAAAGTGTATCACATTATAGACATACAAATTCTTGTTGCTGCTTACAGGAGTTAAGTCCCTGTGACAGATGTGTGGAAAAAGGGGTATGGCTTAGTTGGAAAGGTCAGGGCTTTGCAATTCCATGAGTTTGGCCAATATTTCACAGATACTTGTGTAGCTCCGCTATCACAGGCTGACTACATATATGTTATTTCTTTTAATTCCGTTTCAACTTTATCAAGTTTGATTGTGTGGTAAACAGTGGCGGAACTACCGCCGGTGTGGCCGTTTCCTCTACACCGGGGCCTGAGCCTACAGGGGAGTGGATTCATGGATGGATTCAAACACAGCCCCGGGGCAGAGACGGGGGGACCTGTTAGTGTCCGGCTGCCGGTTACCATCGGATCGGTATGTGGCGGGCCCCCCCATCTATGCGCCGGGAGTGTCCGTTGATCACATTGGTGTCCGGCGGCTGGCGGGCCCCCTCATCTCTGCGCCGGGAGTGTCCCGACACTCC